GGTTTTTGAATTTTACCATAACTAACCCGTGGAGTATCTTTCGGTGACGGAGCATACTTTTGCCATTCATTCTGGTTATGCAACCATTCACGAACTTTTTTATATGGGAAATTATATCCTTTATCTCTGATAGCATTATACAACTTTCGAGGGTTAGAATGATAACCGGTAGGTTGATAATAAAGCATGCTCAGGACAATTTGCAATTCCTCATCTGGATCGATTCTAATAGGTTTGCTCAATTTATGCGAAGCATGGTCTAAGGACCTACTCATTTTCGATATATTTTACGATAGCAATAAACTATGTTTCAGCAAAGCCAAGAGATAAGTTAATATAATATGCCGTAAAAAATAGAGAAGAGTCTTATTACTTCGTAATAATCATGGCATTTCAAAGACCCCGACCCCCCAAGAGACAAAGTCTCCTTTCTTCGAAAGATCGAACAATCCATAGAATAGCCACCGATAGAGAACTCGAGCTAGAACAAATTAACCAGATTTTGAGAGATGAATTATCTGTTGAAATTTCTCATAATAAAGCTAACGAAAAATGGATATCTCGGTTGGAACGTGATCTTATTAATTGCGAGAAAGAGATCAATCGCAAAGATGTTGCTATTGTGGCATCTAACGAAGAAATTAAGGAGTTTCAGACTGAGATCTCGTCTTTAAGAAAAGAGTTGTATCAAGCCCGAAAAGAAATCCGAGACAATAACAATTATACTGCTGAAATAGAAAACAAGTTACAAGAATGCTATATCTAGTTTGAAGCATAGAATTAGGGTAATTACATCTCGTGAGAATTCGCCAATTCGCGGACAATCTCCAGACCAAGATATAACATCAGATAATATGGCTCGCACTAGACAAGCTAGAACTATTGAAGATTATTTGGCTGATGTTCAAGATGGTATACAACGAATTTTAGCACAATTCACACCAACAAACCGCCTCCGCATACCTACTGAAAGATTGGTCAATGGGATTGATGGATCATTAAATAATATTAGACGCCTCACTGGAGACTTGCGTCAAAACCATGCTCAACTCAATACACGCCATAATACATTACGACAAAATTTTGATAATATCAGAAATGAGCGAGATGCTTTACGAGCTCAAACAAATCTCGATCAACAGAATCTCAATATATTTGGCCAACAAAATATTATATTGCGAAGGCAGTTAGAGGAGATAGAAAAATCTCGCAATTTTTGGAAATTGAATGCTATCTATATCAAAGCTCAAAAAGATAGGCACATTAGCGAGTTGTTACATAAACAATTTGCATTACAACTTTTGAATAAGCGATCAAACCAGCAATTGCAAAGGCAGTTACAACAATGCCAGGCTGATAATGGATTATTAGAATATAATCGAGATCGGCTCTTTGATAGATATTACAATAAATTCAAAGATCGAAAGGCAAGTCATATCAAGTGGAAAAATAGGGAGCGTAATTCACAGCAATTAATTTTAAATTTAAATCAGCAAATTTTTGCGCTTCAGAATAATATACAAACAAACATGGCATTACAACCACTACCATTACCAAATTTTTCCGGAGAATATGATGAGGATATTGATATTTTTATTAGTCGATTATCGTCATATCTAGCTGGCACTGGTATAAATCCAGTTGGAGCTCGAGATCAAGCATTTGGTATTCTTCGGGGATGTTTATCTGGGCGAGCATTAGAATGGTTTGATCGAAAAATTCTTGGTAAGCGTTGGGAACTTCATAATATTTTTGCAAATCATGGTCAGGCTGGTATGGGTAATCTCCGGGCTCGCACTATGGCACAAATGAATACTAGCAATAGTTTTAGAAACCCTTCAATCGCTCACGACTATGCGAATATTGCTGGTAATAATGCAGTAACAGTAGGAGTTTCAATGATTCCAGCTGAAGCTTTTACTGAAGATTGGCGCTTAGCTGGGGGGCAACCATCAGATAGACCTGTTAATGCAATAAATGCTGGTAATAACAATCCAATAGTATTTGGAGATATTCGAATTGGTCAAGCATTATATTGGCTTAGAACTCAATATCCCACAGTAATTAGTGAGAAACGCAATTTAGTTTATGGATCATTAGTTCAGGGGAGTGAACCTATAGGAGAATTTTACTCAAAACTCTTAAAATATGGGAAAATGCTTAATCTTGACGAGCAACAAATTAAGGGTCAATTTCTACGAGGTCTATCTCCAGACTTGGAGGACGATGCAGAGCGCATAGGTACTGAACAGCCATTAGCTGATCTTTTTGAAATTTTGGAACGGATTGAAATGCGGAGAGCAGAGAAAAAATTAGGATTGGTTACTAAAATACCCCAGTCTGGTTATAAATCGTCAACTAAATCTCATGGTAAAGATAATTACTCAAGCAACACGGGTATGACCAAAGATGAAATAGAAAACTTCGTAAAATCTATCATGGCATCCACACAATCTCAACCTGTCTCACAAACTATCTCTTCTAAACCTCAGGAGAACCAGATCACGCTTTCACAAGATGAATTCAAAAAAATTATAGTGAGTTTAAAGGGATCTATTGCTAAAGGACAGCAGACCTTGAAGAAACTCCCTGGACCAGGAAAACGAAAAGCTGATGATCTTGCTATAGACCGTTTTTTAGAAAGTTTACCGGATAAGACAGGTTTACCAGGAGAAGATTATGACTATGATCCGGTTGAAGATTTGAGATTACAGTTTGAGCAGTTGGATATCAATCAAGCAAAATTAGCTCGAGTAATACATGCAGTTTTAAAATCTTCTCGATACAAATGTTCAGAGTGTGGTAAATCAGGTCATAATTCCCGCAATTGCCCTAAAAATAAAAAGAAGAGCAAGTCTAGACGTTCTAACAAAAGCAGATCCAAGAAAAAAGGTAAGATTAATATGGCTACTAAAGATTCAGATTCTGAGTCTGACGCTAGCTCTTCTGATAATGAATATAATTCCAACTCTGACTCTGGGTCAAGTTCTGGTTCTGAATCGGAATCTGATTCTGTGAATGACTTAACTGAGACTGAAATCGCGAAAATTATCAATGCTGTTAAATCAAAAAAAAAGTAAAGCCAAAGAGTAAATCATCCTCTAAGAAAATGTCTAAATCTCGTAAGACTAAACAAAAAAGCATTTCCACTTCTAGCAAGTCCCGAAATAAATCGACTACCCTTGAGCAAAATATTCGTCAAATTTTATTAGACATGCTCGAAAAGGTCTTACTCCCACATCAGTTAGAGAAACTTAAATCTGAAGATAAATACTTAACTACTCCAGATTTTGTAAATTATCGAGAACCAATATCAGAGATACTAGAATCAGATGGTGAAGAGGAGATGCTGGACGATCCTATGGAGATAGACTTTGTTCGAAGAAAGGAACCTACCACAAGCCTTGCAACTATACCGGTTAAAATCAAACGCTTAAAAATTCCAGCATTGGTATTAGATAGTGGAGCTGAACCTCCCATTACGTCAGAAGACATTGTTAAACGAGTAAATTGGCCAATTGATAAATCAGAAAAATATGATCTTAGTGGGGTTGCTACAGTTCCAACAGAATCTATTGGTATTGCTCGTAATTTTCCAATAACATTCCCTCCAGGTTTTACTATACGTGAAGATTTTGTAGTTGTACGTGTCCCTAAACCAACATTGATATTTCCAAATCCACTTCTCAAGAAATATAAATGTGCTATAGATTGGGGTAAAGATGAGTTGAAAATTCCTTTTAATGGAAAGGATCACATTATTCCTGTTACTATGCACAAAGTCAAGAATAAACTTGAAGTAAATTGTGCTACCGTATCTCAGAATAATAAGCCTTTGATATCCGATCAAATTTCTCAAGAGGTCGATAGTGATAAGAATAACAACGTACCATTAGAAGAATGGCATGCTCCTGTGGGTTTCAGCCCAGATTCTGATGATCCGTCGTTAAAAAAAAACGCATGAGTTATGAGGAGTTAGAAAAATCGCTATATGAGGTACTCGAATCCAATACTGAATTAATCGAGCTTAATAAAAAACTACGGGCTTATAACAAATCTGATATTGAAACAGTATGTAGGCTCGAAGAGCCATTGCTCTGCAATAGATTGCAAACTACTTTAGAAAAAACAAAAATAGATTAGTTGGAATCTAAGATCCTTTTCGTCTCACGTTTAGCTTCTTCCCTTTCTTTACGATTTTGTGCAAGCTTAACTTGTAAGTCATCCATTTCATCTACTTTTTTTATCGGAATATCAGTTATACCAACTTTATTAGCTGAAAAGCTAGCCTCCGTCCTAATAATATTGACTGAATCAGATACTCAAACAGATCTAGAGCTGGATCCTGGTTTTCTTTTCTTTGACTTTCTATCCGAAGTATTATTTTCAGACATTATCTCAGAAGAAACAACACTATGTATTAGTTGCTGTTTGCGCAAGGGTATACCTTCAGCATGTCTTTTCCAAATTTCATATATTCTACGAGTTGAAGTACTATATCTATTAGCCATTTCCCTGCATGCATTTTTAACTGTCCCTCGAGATTGAATGATTTCCTCAATAGCTTCTGGTGATAAATAAGGAGTACCAGCACGATAATATTCTACAGTTATATGTTCCATCCTTTTTATAATTATAAAAAATTATTGGAAATTATTGGAAATACTAAAACACATCTATATTTCTTATGTTAAAAAATGACCGGTAATTATAGGTAATTACATACTTAATATTCAATAATTTTCTAAAAAAATCGGTAATTATCTATTATTGTTGAATTATATTGGAGCGTAATTTCTTTGATAGCATTATCGATAAGTATATATGTGTTTCATATTTTGCTATTTTTCATAATATTTCTCTTTATTTAATATGGCCAATGTAATAGACCTTAAAAAAGAATTATATAATGCCCTCCAAGATTCTTCTGAGATAGTTTCATACAATGCTAAATTGCGGGATAAGTATGAAAAACAAGAAAAAAAAATCAATCGGGAGAGAGGACAATGGGATCGGGATAGAAAGAAGTGGAGTAAAAAACTAGGAGGGGCTAATACCGAGATCCAGAAATTACGTACTCATGATCTCGAACTTATTAAAGAGACCAGACGTCTACAGATTGAAAATGCTCGCAAAGATATATCTCTTGCGAAATCCAAGGCTAAGCATGCTACAAAATTAGGGGAGATTAAATCGCTTCGGAATGAGATGAAATTATTGAAAGGTAAGTTAGATTTATCTCAGAAGGACTCATCAAAGAAAGGGTCCGAAATCGACTCTCTCAAGTCTAAGATAGTTGAATTAGCTTTAAAAATTAGTAAATTGGAGCGTCTGAAACCTGAGGATATATCGGGATCTATAATCGGTGGAGATGACGAAAAAAATACGCTGTGCGAGGAACAAAGTTCCATAACCAAGCCTGACGATATATCTGCAGTTAATGAATATAGCAAAAATCTAAGTAAGTATTTTATTCGTGGAAAAAATACACTATGCGAGGAATAAAGTTCGATGGATCCAATAGAAAAAATCAATAGTAATATGTGTCTTGAGTCAAAGATTCGTGGCTTTGCTACTGACACTAGCTCTGCTATCTTGACATATACTAATGATGAGATTACCGAACTATCAAAAAATAATACTAAAATTAGTCCTAAGGTAAGTGAGGAAACTAGTATTAACGAAATTAGCGAGGATATTACACCCCAACCTCAAGAAATCCCGAATATAACTCCTTACCTTGCACAGCTGGAAAATAATAGTAGATCTAGTGCCAAAGCACATATGTCCTCATTGATTGAATCGAATTCTCAAATTCCAATAGGAGGAATAGGAGCGATCCCTGCTGTAGCAAGTACTTTGATGTCACCTCTATCATATATATTACTTGCTCTGTTAATTATTGCCATTATATGGTTCGTGAGATGCACGTGGAATATAGGTAGACTCAAAGAGCCAGGATTCAAAGGGTCGCCTTATAGCCCGCTCCGCAATAAAAAAGTGATCGGCTATGGGATATGTAGATCCGATAACAGGCTGTCTATTTGAACTTCGATATTATTTATGTACGAAAAAATATTATCCTTTTAACCATATCTATAGTTATAATGCGACATACATGGGATGTCTAGGCCCGAAGAGCTATTGCTCTGCAATAGAAAAAGAGGCACGTAGTGCTTTGCTTCACAAACATATCTCAAAATTATTCATACCAATAATATGACTCGCATTTTATTTCATTGATAATACCAATATTAAACATACATTTTTCTAATTCTTGTAGTTTACTAAAAGTTTCCTCTTGTTCATTAAGCAGAGAATCAAATCTTGTCCTGTGTTCTGTAGTATCTCGAATTGATAGTCCAATTGTAAACATCTCTGGATCAGTCTTAGGTTCGAAACAACTATCAAGATCTTTTATCGCTTTTTTTATTTTGCACTCCAAGTCCCAATATCTATTTTCAAGCTTTTTTTGCCTTATAAAGAACTCGCGTCTCACTTCTTTTCCCATATAAAATTGATATGAAGACATTTTGCGAGATCCTTTGATACCAGATTTTTGATAATATACGCTATTAACTCTGGTTGTTCAAAAGGATTATAAGTATGATGCATTTGTTTGATTTATATTTCGTATTCTCTGATTTATTTTCAAAGAAGGTTCTACTAAAGCATATAAAAAAGTTATCGTCACACCAGAAATTTTTTATCCAATCTATAGAAATCGTAGTTATGGATTCCCAATCCGTCATACAAAAAAACCGAAAGAAAGAAATATTGCAGAGCAGGCCGTTAGGCGATTCTCCGAATCATGGCTTATCGCGCCTACCACCTATGAAACTTTATCTTATGGATATGGACGAGGCTACAAAGCATGAATCGTCTCGAAATGTTGGACATCCAGCCAGCCCATCATGGCCTTTCAGTATGCTAATCACCGGGAAGAGTGGATCAGGTAAGGTAAAAAAGGCGGGTCTAGATATATTGCATGTGATGATTTGATAGTTTGTGGTTACCATCCCGACGAGCCTAAGTGGGCATTTGTAAGAAAAATGTATGGTATAATTTCAAAAGATCCAAAAGCGCCTTACTATGAGAATATACGATTTAGATATATATCACCAGAGAAAATCCCTAGTGTTAGAGCATTTTCACCAGAACGGAGTACAGCGATTGTTTTTGAGGATGTATGTCTAGCCCCAGAATATATACAAAATCAAATCGGCCAATTTTTTGGGAATGGACGACATCGGAATATTTCATGCGTATATGTAGCGCAGAAATATCATAAAATCAATACATTTATGCGTGAAAATGCCTCTCATTTAGTAATTTTTAACTCCGGTAGCTCATATGAAGACGTCTCCAAAATTATTAGGCGCTATACTGATGATGTAAAAAATGCATCGCTGGTTATCAATAGTTACCTTCGAAAAAATGAATTTATTGTATTTGATCTTACTAGGTCAGAGAATAATCCTCTAGCAATTCGGATAAGGTTTGATACTCCATTAGATTTGCAGAAGGAAATAGAATTGCGTCAAAAGAAAAAAAAAAATAGAAAACGAACCAGCTGATACATAGGGAAAAGGTATAAAAATTTATGTGATTAATATATATCAATAAAAAATAGCTATTAACCATCACGAAATAGCAGTCTATTTCGGTCATGTGGGATCTACTTTTGGTGTGTAAGATCTATTTCGGGCATGTGTGTTATATTTCGGGTGTATTACAAGCATACGATATGATTTAATTTTCCGCTGTTGATTGTTACTATGACCAAATTTCGATTGCGTAACAAATATGTTAATTAACAGATCACATGATATAAAACCGCTTAATACTGTATTAATATTAAGACGATCACCCGGAAATTTTTCTGCCGAAAAGTGATGTGATACACGCATTGTACACTTCTCACCACATATACTATATAACCCCAATAAAACAAGCTTGTACCACACGTGATTTTTGATTATTGATAACCCGAGTTTCGGTGGAACGTTCTCCGATTAGGTCTCATGTACTACAAATTTTGTAAACGAATCATGTTAGTACCGATCCGGAATTGCTGATCACGAGCTCGATTCCCGCGTTCATTAACCGTAATATTTTGCCCAACATAAATGTTATTTTGCGTTCGAATTATAATGAAGCTACGAATTAATTACTTAGAATAAAATTTAAAAAACCAATGCCGTGATTACATAGAATAAACCAGATATAATTCGTGTTAAGAAGGCATACTCATGAGATGCGCAAGAAACTAAGCTAATTCATCTCTGTTTTATGGAATAGAGATATATTAATCGCCTTTACTGCGAGATATAGCAGAGCTAGTGTCTGAGACACAGTTTTACGAGCTACAGATATAAAAACGTGCGTTGTCTAGGGTTAAA